GCGCCCCCAAAGAGACCTGACCCAAACAGCAGAAGGTCCCAGAGGAGGAAATCCGAAAGGAGCGAAGAGAGCCCAACAACCAGCAAAAGTAACCCCCAAGAGGCCAGCCAGCCCAAGGAGGACCTGCCCTCCATCCCACGCGAGACGTGCCCCGACACATTGGACGAGGCCGAGGAGGAGCACGAGGAGTACCAGTTGGTCACTGCCCAAAGAAGTGAAGAGAGGGCGGCCAAGAGCAAGAGACGAGAAGAGGGCAAAGGGGTCCAGAGGTCCTCACCCTACCTCCCAGCTCGCTAAGGCAGTGGCTGTACGACCACGCGGAGTACCAGTTGGAGGCGGAGGACGGCAACCACACCAGGACAGGACCACCAGCGGATACGGGACCACCTGAGGAAGGCACCCCTGAGGACCCCAGCCCTGGCAAGGATAACAGTACCTTCCAGGACCTCTGGGACCTCACAGAACCCAAGAAGGAGAAGCCCCGTGCAGATCAGCAAGGGAGCCCAGCAGGACGTCCAGCACTGTGGTTTTTAGCCTGGCCAGCGCTAAACAGTCGCAGCAGCTGGCGGTCAAGGTCGGGAGTTGGCTTTCCAAGGTTGAGGCTTTCAATTGCGTGCGAGATGCCAGTCCAAGATAGACATCACTACTCAGGACGAGCCACTCCCAGGCCTTTTTATCACTAAGCCCGTCTCTTTCAAGGGCGCGCCTCTGCAGTGGGCGAACGACGACTGCAATTGGCGGGCAGTAGCATATTCCCAGTTTCGCTTGCTCGCTCGCATCAGATGCTAGAGGTACAGAAACATCGCAATCGCCCAACAGGTCGCCGATACGGTCAATCTAGGGCTCCCAACTTCGCGCTTCGCGCTGCGCGAAGCGCGAAGCGCGAATAACTTCGCGCTCTCGCGCCGCCCTCCCAAAGGGAGAATAGGAGGACGAGGAGGAGGGGGAGAAGGAACGAGGACCGCGAAGCGCGAAGCGCGAATAACTTCGCGCCCTCGAGGGAGCCCTTGTCAATAGACTAGCGCCTGCCGCGAGCAGGCCGACCATTCCCTCTCGCACTTTGACTGCCAAAAGGTCCGGAACGCAGGCTTCGGAGCAGGCAGACGGGTGGTCCCCCGGAAGAGGCGCAGGGCCTACCGGAAGCCGCGCAGGGAAACGTCGACCAGGCCAGCCGCATCGTCACCGCCAGGAGTTCTCCGTGTGGGCGCATAGCCCCAGCAACCTCGGCAAAAAACACGGGATGACCCATGACGAAGCCAGAACCACGGCACAAGGCCGAGGCGTGGGACCTCAATCAGATGCCCTCTGTGTCCCCCGTGGGGTTCGTGAACGACAGAGCCAAGGTTTGGGAGCCCCAGTGGATCCAGAAGCACAAGGTCGAGGACGTAGCGGAGCATTTGAGTGCCATTCGGAGGAGAGCCCTGAGGAGCCCGACCCCTATGGATCCCGTCACGGTAGCCCTCCTCGAAGAAGCACTCCAAAAGACCCTTGAAAGTAATACAAGAGGATGCCTCAACATCGGCCTCAAGGACATCATACGCCTACCCACCAAGGCTAAGCAGGACCCGACCCAGATATTCCACGAGATGGAAAGAACGTTGGCGTGACCTTTAGCTGTTGTTGCGTGCATGGGCATCCCTAACCCCCAAATAGAACAGTGAGGATAGAACGATAGCCATGCTTGCACTGGTCGCCAGACCCTGGGAGCAGCTCAGAGGGGCGACAGCGGACATCTGGGCTGCGCAGCGTACCAAGCAGGACGGGACGACGCAGTCCGTGGCAGCTCGGCGGCACAGGCCGCCCTCGAGACGCTTCTGTCTGACGAATGTGACGCAGAGTTGGGTATCTCACGTGCCTCAGCGCTGATGGACGTGTCAGGCTTTTTACGACTCCCTCAACTCCATCCTAGTCATGGGTCTAGCTGAGAAACACAAGCACCCCTGCAGGATCCTGGCGCTTTCAATTCAGTTGCATTCAGGGTCGAGTAATCTCAGGAGCAGGCAAGGTTTTGCACATGCTATCATACCTACTTGGGGTGTACTGCCAGTATCTCAGGCAGCGCAGCAAGTCGCAGCAGCTAGCTGAGTTTCACGACCTCCTGCACCACATTGGCACTCGCTTCGGGCCGCAGTTACAAGCTAGTAGTTGGGTAGATGGTATAAAGTCGAGGGTTAACGGCCACAGCGACAACGTGGTCAGCTACACCGCCGACTCCGACATCGAGCTTAAACAGGGACTTCACGGGATCGACCTAAACTATCGGACAAATGTAGAGAAACACCAGCAACCCAGCCAGGCTACCGGATGAGATACTCGAGCGCATCAGCAAGCACAACATAAAAGTGGACCAAGCAGACGCAGCAGCAGACCTGGGAGTAGATCGGGGACCGCAAATTGACCGTCGTCGTCCTAGAGGTAAAGCCCGGCATCCTGCTGCTATCGATCGTTCTAAGAAGATTGCCAAATATAAGGCGGCTCTCAAGAAATTGCGGATCCAGCCGTTCAAGACAGACGCCGTCCAACAGAGCCTATACGAGGCTAAGCTTTCGGTGCCAACCCTGGCAAGGTCCGACGTCTCCGCCACCTAAGCTTTTCCAAGCCAGTCCCTAGAATTTCCAAAGAATGTCCAGAGCCTGGGACAAAGCTTGAGCTAGGCTCAAGGATGTGCAGGCCGCCAGGAGGTGGAGGAGGGCTCGAGGACAAATATCGGCCATCATCCTGGCCATGCTCGACTTAGGCTGGAAGGCCATCAGGCTGGATGCTAGACATCGACAGCTTCGATTCGGTAGAAGAGGCACGGACGGAGTTCGATCTGTCGAACCTTCTAGCAGCACTTCGAAGAAGCGTCGAGAACAAAACGTGGCCCGAAGCTTCGAAAGAATACCTCGGGAGCGACCTTCGGTGTGGGGTCGATATGTTCAGCATCCGCAGGCAACGCAGCGGAGTGGAGCGCCGCGGGGACCACGCCACCAGCGAGGCCCCTGTCGCGACGAGCTGCGCCGGCCTGTGGCCGAGAAACTGACGTGTTGAAAGCTCACACAGGCCAGGGCCCGGCGTGCCCCGGGTGCGCACGTTTGGTAGATCTCCACCGCCTCGGGCGGTGCGCGCTGCGAGCAGGAATGCAGCAAAGCCACAAGAAAGCGCGGCATGCACAGTGTAGCTCCGCACACGTGACAAATGTTGACGAGCAGGAACACAGCAAAGCCCCAGGAGAGCCTGAACCCCGTGGGACACAGATTCTGGAAATGTAGGTTCAACAGCGACGTCGAAGGCCTCCCAGGACAGGAGCTGGAGGACCATGCCAGGCCAGATTCAGACCAGAATAAACCTGTCGGCTTCGGGCTCAGAGGCCTCATCCCCACCCCCTGGACCCTTGTCCCCGATCCGCCTGGGGCTCACGAGGCCCCCATCACTACGTTGGAAAGCTTGGAAGGAAACCCCACCTCAGACAAAGCTGAACCCACGTGGGCCGCGGGGGAAGTTTCGGGGGGGACTTGCAGTGGGGGCCCGAGGCTTAGGACATGCGCGTGGGCCTGGCTAGCTTTCATCAGTAAAGACCAAGCTGACTTAGACAGGACCTTGAGTAGGAGAGCACCCCTCGGTGGAATCAGGCGAACGATCAATCGCGCCGAGATGTAGGCCTTAATCGATTGTCTGAAGAACATCGAAGGGCCTGTGAATTTCATTACTGACAGTCCTTACGTTGTGAGAGGCTGGAGAACGTTAACTCGCGGCCTTGGCCAGCCAGAATGTAACAGAGATCTCTGGAAGAAGTTAGATTCGGTGGCGCTCCATCGAGCCAAAGGCATCGATATTCTCAACACTGAGAGCCATCTCAGTCCCGAGAGAGCGCGGCCCAGGTCGGAGGCCCAGCCTCATTGGCAGAAGCTGACCGAGCTACCGACCACCTTGCCTGCAATGAAGCTGCACGTTGCCAACTCGAAAAAGAGATTGATGCAAACATCTTAAAGGTCGGCCGCGAAGCGGACGAGATGAGGATGATGATCGCCACCCTTGGAATTGTTATGCCGGCAGCGCCGAGCCCGTGCCACCGTCAGCTAATCACTTTTTGGCGGTCGCGGCCCTGCGCGCTACGTGCAGGCGAAGGAAGTCAAGTGCCTTGGCTGAGGCCCCGCGCGCGCCGGGCCACCGAAGCACGCCAAAGCTAGCATTGGAGTCAGGCGTTTTAACCAACTGTTTGCGCAATCCCCCCATTCAACGACGCTGGTGTCACGCAACCCCAAGAACATGTTCTGCCCTGCTTGCAAGCAAAAGCCAGCCGCATGGGACAGAGATCAGCTTCGAGTGGTTGCAGTCCCCGTGCGTGCCAGTTTCCTCTTCAGGTAGCCTCCCAAAGGGCGGCCAGCAGCGTATAGGCAGCCAAGTCGCTGATCCCAGCCACCATATATGCAGCGTTTGGAGCATATGAGCGGCTGGGCCTGCCATGCTCGCGGCAGCATCAGCACAGGAGGCATGACCAGAGCACTAGCAAGTCGTTTTGTCATGCGAAGGGAAGGTAGGTCGAACCCGGATGACCTCGCCAAAGGCAGATGGCCTGGACACTCAGCCCAGGCCAAAGCTTTCCATGCAGCTCTGCAGTCGAGGCAAGGCCAGCACCGTCACCAGCACCTTGCGCGCGGCTCGGTGAAAAATCGAATCGATCGGCACCGTGGAAAAAGTACAGTGTTTTATATGTGTGTGTGTGTGTGTTTCCTGTGTGTGTTCGTATGTGTGTGTGTTTTTCCTACCATGTATGTTGTGTTTTTTTCGTTTTTTCCGCAGATGATGGAGGCGACCTGGATGGAATCCGGGCAGATGGGGTCGGGGGGACGCGCTGCATCGCCAAGGGAATCGGCGATGCAGCGGCGATGCACCGGCGACGTCTGCGATGCATCGGCGCCGTCGGCGTGGAGAAATCCTTCTGGCTCCGCATCGAACCGCATCGGCGATGCGGAGCCATCCTCCGACCTCACCTGGGAGGCCCAGAGATGAGCCCTGGC